ACCAAAACCTTGCCACGCAAAAACCAACACACATGGTGATGCCAACCAGTTTCTAAATCATTAATTTCTTCATCTTCAGCTTGCTACCTCTGTGTTGATACAATCCAGTCGTGAAGTCAGCCTTCTGGTTACTGGGAGGAAGCTGCAACCCTTTTATGTTGAAATGCAACCAGCAGTTTCTCTCTCCACTAACCCCACAGTCCAGGAAACAGGTATTAATCAGTTACATGAGCAATTCCCTTCTTTGCGTGGAAAGGATGGTAAAGTACCTGGCACTTCTCTTTGCAGTGTTATGGTGGACAGTCACTGGAAAAATTGTTCTCAGATATATGTGCATATCTTAGACTTACACATCTACATTAAGGTGTACAGACCACCTGTACACAGAGCTAAGAGCTCTGAAACTCCTCTGGTAGATACTTAACTGAGTGACTTTCTTTTGGGATTGTATCTGTCCTTCCGCTGGATCAAAAGCATCAAGTTGAACATGATAAAAAGAACAGTTGATCTAGGACAGAAATGATGAGCTATAAGAAGAGACAGTGCAGTGTGCTTTATCACAGAAAAGATATCTACTTTAAAAAAAATTGCCAGCTTAAGATGAATAAGATAAATAATGCATTTGTAAGTGAAGGACTCTTAGTTTAAGGAAGACAAAAGACAGGACATTAATAGATATACTAAACATCCAAGTAAATTCATCTTTAATTTATAAAAGCGCTGTGTACCTGAACATCATCATTGAGTTGACTGGCCTAAGAGAAACTCTGAGCAATTGAAGCATATCACAGAGAAATAACCCTAAAAAATTAATATGACAGACTCTAAAAATCACAGCTTACATAACTTAGCACATTTTTCACCAGGTGATCATATGGTGCTTAATGTGTTCTTGAAATTTCAAGTACATACTTAAAACCTCTATTAAATTGATGATAAGTGTTTTCTTAGGTAATACAATACTGAGGTAGAAGATTAAAAACAAGAGTCCTCCTGGCATTTAAAACCTATGTTACAAGGCTATATGTGGGGGGATTGTTCATTTTGGGTTTTTGCAGGTTCCCGTAAAATGGAATTTAAGGGAAGTTCCTGGCATGAATCCTGTTTTGTCTGCCAGTATTGCCGGCAACCATTGGGAATAAAACCATTGATCACCAAAGACAACGAGAACTACTGCGTGCCCTGTTTTGAGAAGCAATTTGCTCACCATTGCTACTCCTGCAAAAAGGTAATTAAACGTACAGAGGAAAAATTGCCCTAACGAGGCAATATTGCTCATGGGGGAAGGGGCTGAATCATGCAAAATGTCTGGTGCACTAGGAGTAAGAGGGGAATCTTCCTTTTAGCATCAGGCACAGAAAGGCAACTGTGACGGTGTCTGCTGTCCCCTTGTAGTTAATATTATTATAAGCCTGATTTTGTTTGAAATAAATTTACTGACCGAAACAAATACTGTAGGATTCTTTTGTTGTTGATTGCAATTTTTAACAAAGGTTGAATTTTTCATTGAAATTTACGTAAAACTCTTCTTTCCTGATAGTATCTGATTCTGCCTTTATAAACATGCCTCCCTTTCCAACATATTTCAGATACATTCACATGCATAATAAGTCACCTAAGCTGAGCAAAGCATTCACAGTCTTGCCTGTTTTTCTCTTGAAATGCATCAGGCAGTAAACAGATTAAGTAGTATTCAGTTGTGATAATACTAGTCAAGAGTTCCACTGTTTCAATACATGATGATTCCCCTGTGGGTACCAGCAAGCTTGATTTCAAATGAGTTTTTCTTTTTTCCCCCAAATACAAATAAATCAATTCCTCCCTCATTTTCTCATGTTTTAAAATTGTCTCTGGTTGATGAAAACACTCAAACTATCACATTATTCTAGAATCATCATAGAATCAATGAATACCTCAAGGATCATTTGATCCAAACTTTCTTGGCAAAAAGTGTGATACTGTTCTCTAGGGAAATGTTTTAAGCTGCTTTTTATGGCAGAATTTAACTTATTCTTTAGTACCTGTATCACTCTGGAATTAAAAAAAAAAAAAATCACTTTACCAAATAACTTATAATTATATAACACTATTTAATGTTTATCTGTAAACCTCTACCTCTTACAAAAAGCTTTTAATTTAATGAAAATCTGCTGCTTGTTTTTTTCTTCAGTAGAAAAACAGTACTTTAGAAAGTACATTTATATATTCCACGTCTCTACATCTAGCCTTTAATTTGCATTAAGTGATCACATGGCAAATATAGTAATTCTGCTCTCTGTAAGAGAAATTGAGGTTAGTAGCACTTATGTGAAATAATCAGGATTTGCTGCTTAAAAATTCTAGGAATGCAAAGATTCCCCCTATATAATAGCTAAAATAATTTTACTACATAAACTTGTATCAGTTCCCATAAATAAGAATTGAGCCTAAAGAGATTAAATTGCCAAACTGGAGTCTTGAATTTTGTGCCATAAATTTTGAGATTTTAATGGAAAAGTAAACGAGAGTTAGAAGTAGCCCAATACTGGAATGCTAAGGCAATCAGGAGCTATTTAAATTTTTACAGAAATTTCTCTATACAGTCTCTTGCAAATTCTCTGAAACCAGCTCTTTACCAAATATATGGAAACCATAGAGCAACTGGAAATTTCCCTCTTCAGAAACAGCCAGTGGAGAGCTGTGAGTGAGTGGCCGGGAATGAGAAGTTTGATGACACTGATAAACACTGTTTTTTCTTTTTTTGACAGTACAGATCTTCTTTCTATCTCACTTCTGCTTCTTTATTGTCTCTTTCTTCCTACTTAAAATACTGTTTCAGTTGTGAGACAGCAAAATGCCAGTTCCAGTTGGAGATTAGCCATAATCTCAGCATCGGTTCTCTCATCCACTGTGCGTCACTGAGAACTGCTCTTCAGAGAGCATGCCTGATGCTAAGCCTTTATCCACACATGTAACAAAAACATAACAAGCTAGCCTGTGTATTACAAACTATGAGGTTATCCTGTGATAGAAAATGGAGAAAGACAAACCAGTGGCATGGTCAGCTCAACTGCAGTTAGTCAAGTTGATATCCCAGATGAAAAACTGTTGACGCAACCACAGTCACTTGTGCATATGGAAAAAGACAAAACAAGTGGAAAGACTTGTGAAGGAGTGGATAATCCTTCAGGATTCACACCTTTGTTTCATTGCTCTGTCCTTTTTGTCAATACATTAGGTAATAACTTCTGGGGGAGTGACCTACCATGACCAGCCTTGGCATAAAGAATGCTTTGTGTGTGCTGGGTGTAAAACCCAGCTGTCTGGACAAAGGTTTATTTCCAAAGATGAGTATCCATACTGTGTAGACTGTTTCAGCAAATTGTATGCTAAGAAGTGTTCTGCCTGCAAGAAACCTATTACAGGTGAGTCTCATCTTCTAGAAGGGACGAGACACTGATGAACCATCAATCTTTCCTCAAATGAGCTCTTTACTTCAGAAAACAGCATTAAAAATAGTCCCATTATAATGAAAGACCAAGGGAGTTAACTACTAGAGAGACCTCTCCATCACATGTAACACGTCTTGCTAGGACATACTGATCACGTGTGTTCCCTGACTGCTGAGTTGTTTCATGTGCTGAAAGGAGTCCTTCCATTGTTGGCTTTAGTGCTTTCTGCACTAAAATTCACCCCTAAAAAAATATGAAAGGGTACTTTTTGGCTTTTCCCAGGACAGTACACACAAGTCCCTCATGCCTGTAATTTAGAATCATTTAGGTTGGAAAAGACCTTTAAGATCTTCAAGCCCAACCTAACACTGACATGTCCACCACTAAACCATGCACCGTGAGTTTCATTAAGAACCATAGAAAAGCAGAAAGCAGATCTGCTTGCTAAATGATACAGGCTTTCAGGTTAAAGTCTAAAGAGCAAATTGCAATAGTAGGAACATGAAAGAAATTTCTTCAGCTTTGTTTTTAAATGCAAATATGATCAAATTGAACATGAATTAACTGCCTACTGGTAAGGCACACCTGCCAAATTAGAAAGCTTGCCAAATGCAACAAAGCTCTATTGCACACATCTTTGTGTACTTTGATGGTTTATAATTAGACGTATAGGTCATAGTTTATGATAGCTGAAGTTTTCTGAGAGCATTTGCTAGTGTTCTGCATTGTAATTCTATTGTGTGTGGACGCAACTGTTGCAGAGTACTGCCTGATTGTTACAGGTGCATGCTGCTTATATAAGTGGACAGAGATAATGATGAATACCCAATAAATGGGCATGATTTAAAAAAAAAATCAAAAAAACCTAAAAAACCCCCACAACCAAAAACCACCAAACAAACAAACAAAAAACCAACCAAAATCGAACAAAAAAACCCACCAATGTTTTATTTCAGATACTCATGCTAGGAACTCCATGATCTGGTAATTTCCCAAATAGTCAATCCTGTAGAAACTGTAACTATATATGTGGAAATAATTAAATTTCACTCACTGAAGTATAGAAACTATATGTATCTGCACACTGCAAATAATTTTCATGAGTTTGTTGGGAAGATCAGCAAACCTGAATGGACATATTGATAAACCCACTCTGTTCAGAGATGATAATGGGATATGACAAGCAACTTGTAGCATTGCTTCAAATATTTCTCAGTGTATTTAATTTAAAAGTTGTGGTTTTTTCAATTCAGCTAACAAAGGATATTTCTGACTATTGTTTTTTGTTCATTAGTTTGCTATATGAATGACAACCTGATCACACATCAGAAAACAGTATCTGTTGCATTTCTGAACCATGTCCAGAAATACTGGATTCACATCTTCTTTCTCATAATCTCTTTTAGCTCTCGGAGGTGCCAAATTTATCTCGTTTGAAGACCGCCAGTGGCATGGGGAATGCTTTAACTGTGCGAAATGCTCTGTCTCATTGGTGGGCCAAGGATTCCTGACTCAGCAGGATGATGTCCTTTGTCATGAATGTGGTTCTGCTTCATAGTTCTGTGGAGAGCTGTACAGCTGCATTATTCTCACTCTGTAACGATCTACTTCATTACTCTGCAGTAAGAAAATCATCTAAAAGGTATAACAGGCATTTAGTCATTCAAGTAACTTTCCAACAGCAGTTTAATTCTATCATAGTTCTCAACTGCTTGTAAAAAAAATTGAAACAGCCCTTTACTAGTTAAGAAAGTAATGCAGAAAAGATTCGTATATATTTTAAATCTAACTACACTATGTTTCTCCTTGTAACACACTGCACTCTGCTGTTAGAAGCTTAAAAATTTACATTTCATCTCCCATGTAACAAGGAGGATTGTGAAAAGTCTCTGTGGCATATAACTAATGATGAGGCATTAGCAGTGCTTCACAAACCTTAGTGTGGAAAGCTGGGCATGTACATAATATTGATGAGAACAACTTATAAATATCAACTCCCTCCATACTTTGGGGGGAAAAAAAAAAACCTGCTGAAAAAGCAGGCAGAAGGTAGGAGGAGAAGGTACTTTTACATGAAGGACCACCGAGTCAGAGAGGTCCATTCCAGGGCCAAAGAAAGGGGGAAAAAATGTCATTATCTTCTCCTTACTGAGATTGCTCCTCAGAAACATAGTCTTTAGTCATCCAAAAAACTGTGTGACAGGTCCTTCCCCAAAATTGGTTAATTGTACTTAATTTTTCAGGCATAACTGCTTTAGAACATAAATAAACCTATATTTTGAGCTACTGTAAGAGGTGAGGATTGCCCAAGACTGGATAGTGCTGATGTACACTTTCCCATAGCTAATATGCCTTAAGGGTCTGTGTCCATTGTCTTCACTAGACCTTCAAATACATGCATAAAACATATATTTTTATTAGTAGGCACAAGAGCCAACTCAAACTTGTCCCTTTAACCTTGTACTTTTCCTCCCTTCAGAAACCATTTGCCAGCAATCAAAACACTGTTAATGGCCTTACCATTTGCACCCTGCTAGGCCTTTGATTCACAGTCTATCCTTTCTCTTGTAAATGCCTGCTTGTCTATAGCAAGCTATGAGCTATTCAGAACCAATATCTGATTCATTTTGCCATGTGCCACATGCATTTTCTAATATGTCAAGAACTGGCAATGTCATTGCAAGCTAGGCTGTCCTCGCTTGTAGTACAAGGTACTAGTTTCTAGGTAGCTGGCTTTGAGAAGGTTATGTCTGCTTGCTGAGCTTCAGCGCTCAAGTGTTTGTTATTAAAGGCCATCTAGAGCTGAGTTACAAGCATTTCTCTTCTTCCTTCTTCCATACTGTATGTTAGAGTGGCCTGATTCGTGTTACAGTGTCTGTACTGGGCTGTTGTGAACAATGCAGTGGTATTAAGGATGGCAGATTCCGCACTGCTCGGCACTGTTTCAGTCCTCATCTCGCACGTCTTTTGAGTTGTACACTCTCCTTTAGACTCTGACCTTCAGTGCATAGTTATTTGGCTGACTTGAGTGGGCTTTATTCATACTGAAGCCAGCCATTACTTTAGGTAGAGAAGTGAAAAAAAGAGAAAAGAAAAATAAAAGAATGTGTGTGCATAGCTAAGCCAGAGCTGAACTGCAGTGGCATGAAATCAATATGGATAATGACTGACCAACAAGTACATAGCAGTCTGTTGTCCAGTCAATAAAATATTGATCTTTGCTTTACATGGTGTTTTGTTTTTCAGTTTCTTCTTTCATGGCAGGTTTTATTGCAGTCTGGAGTTTGATTAGTTTATGCCTTTTCATTTTATCTCAGCTGCCTCCTTTTCTATTTTCACATTTCACATGGCTGATACAGGTTCTTGGTAAGACTTGGATTCCCATAAATAGAAATATGTTTCATTGCCTTAAATATGTATATATCTCTACACACACACACATATAGTGTTCACAGTTATGTATGATGTTTTAAATATGTGCACCGAGTTATCAGAAATTAGTCCATTAGTAAATGTTAATTGTCTAAAATTTTTAAATGAAAATGATGAATCACCAGATGCAGGTTTGTCTGTGGGGTGTACCTTTTGTTTGTTTTGTGTGAAATAACACCAACAAATTGCAAGAATGTGGTTTGGGCCCTTTATTCAGTCTTGTCTGAACAATCTTCCAGCTTAATTACAAACTGACGTAAGAATTACCAGGCAGAGTCCTAAGACATGAGAGAGTCATGGGTCAGACACACTGATCATGATAATCCCAATCTTCAAGCCTTAACATTTAGGAAAATGAAATTCTTCTCTGACTCATCAACTAATTATATTTTTAGAAATACCAACTGAATTATTTATTTCTCCTGCAGTAAATACACTACAGTTAAATCTGAAACTGAACATTTTCACTTCAGACTAATAATAAGAAATAAATGTGACTGCTATAAATAGTTTGAATAAAAGTTAAGCTAGATATCAGATTGATATTTCCTAGTCTCAACCACCAGCTACCGATGTATAAACATAAATACAGTAATACTCTGCACAACGTGGGTCAGCTACGCTCATGTAGATGAAAGCCAGCTTGAACAGGTGCAGAGGAGAGCTGCAAGGAGGAACAGTGTGTCTCTGTGGCGGACTGTGGATCGTGGACGGGATTAGACAGCTGCCATAAGCCAAGAGACTACATTTGGTTCAAGAACAAAGGCAAGTAAACTCCTCAGGACTGGAAACAGGAAATTAGAAGGAAATTAGAAGGAAATTAGAAGGCGGCAGCTGCTGCTGAGCAGTGATGCTGCAGGAAAACCTCTTTCCAGAACCGAGAGGGGAACAGCTATGTGGTCAGTTTTAAAGTGACGCTTGATCGGTGTGTTAAATGGTGTATGTAACGATTGCCTGAGATAGCAAAGCACTGGGCAAAATGAACCAGATGGTCAGCTTCAAGTCTTTTTCCTAACATTTGATTTACTGCAGGGTGATCAGGGTACAGACTCCAGTGCAATTCAATTTTCTTTAATAAACTTCAGAGAATGGAAGTTCGAGAGATTTATTTTTAAGTCAGTCTTTTTTAACGTCATGTGCTTTTCTTTAACGTTGTACTGTTTTATTTTAAAATACATCTAGTTTTTCCCTGTGTATTAGCTGCCCAGCTCTAAGCTAATCACATTGCTTTCGTTATGGTCAAGCTCAATTATCCTAAGGTGCAGTGATGTCTCTAATGCCCTGATCACATCTCCACTGTGCTCATAGTTATCCCAGGGGACTGGGAGGGATGCTGCCATTTGGGACTAATTTCTGAAGACGGAAGTATGTGCCCTACTACCTACCTCAGTGCTTAAGGCTAACATTTAAGTTCTTCAATCACTGCCTAACCACCAGAGAACTCCTGGAGGTGACATGCTTAAAATACAAAGACAAGCCCTGAACTATTAATACCAAGTGACCCTTCTCTACCCGTATTTCACATTTTTCACTCTAAGACAATATAGTGAGAGTGAGATATCAGCCTTTTCCTGGACTACTACTTTTAAAATCCAAATTTTAAAATGTTTTCAGTAGGTGATGTAGCAGGCAACACACAGCAGCTATAACTCAGAAATCCAGGATCACTTCCCAGCGTTTCACAGATGGAGGCACATGTTCCAGACTAATGACTTAGGTCTAGGACAAAACCCAGACATCCTCCATTCTCTCTCCTTGTTTTCTGGATTTCTGGAAAGAAAATCTGCGAGCCTAGGCTGGGAAGAGCTAGGGCCTAGTCTGGCCATATCAGTGAAGCGGGTGTCACATCACAGGGTAGTTTTTCTGCACTATCTCAGCACATGCAAGTTCAACTGGTTCTTGTAATCTACTGGTGGATATCATCCCAGGCTTTCCTCATGGTAAGAGTGGCTCAGGACAACCACAGGGGCATTAGGAAGGGAGTGGTAAGGTTTTGCAAGACCTTCTGGACCTGTAGTTTCAAACACTTCACAGGACCCCTCACGGGAGGGGACGTACCTGTTTATACCCCACCAAGTTGACCAGCAATTTCAGCAACGGGTCAAAGTTTTTATGAATCTCACTTCATTTAATAGAATGGATGTAGAGCAGTGTATTGGATTTTAGGAAGACAAGTAAAAACACAGTGATATTTATACAATGACAGATATCTATAGCTGAAGGAAGTAATGTTAAATTACTGCGTAAGTGGAAGCTAAGAGATCATTTCTGTAAATAAAAAAGTTGGATGGGATTCAAGCCTATAGCCAGAACAAACTTGTTTACTAATCAAGGAGGAATGCTGCAATAAATCCTCTACATTCTTCTTAACAATATCTCAAAGAAAATGTGTACGTCTGTGTGTGTGCATGCTTGTTCACCCTCAAATTGCCAGAACTTGAACGGACTGAGTCACAGGAAACCTGGCAACTTAAACCAAAGTACAAAACACCTAGGATGGTTACAGACTGCTATTTCCAAATCAAAGTTTCAGTTCATCATATTCAGAAGTACCAGGTACAAGTACTTTGATACGAAAAAAGGGCAATAAAACCTTTGGAGGACAGATATGGCTGCAGTTTTCCTATCATAGAGATGTTATCCAATTGGCAATACACAGCTACGGTGGAGGGTATCTAGAGATATCAGATTTGGCCTGAATCAGAAAGCTTTTCTTAGCTTGCTAGAGAGAACATTTCCATAGACTTTCATCCTGCGTTTTTCACCCAAGTCCTTCCTGGGGCTCCTTGAAGATGAGGCCAGACAGGAACATCTCTATAGTGCAATCACACAGACATGCACAATGGTTAGCAAATACAGCATGTGAGAACCTGCATTTGCTCAGTGAAAATTAATTACATGTTAGAAAAACAACCATTGTACTGCATTACATCGAAACTAATAAACCCTATATCTGTCTTGGATATAACCCAATATCTTTTTTTATCAGCTTGTGCCTCTGCTGTATGTCTTTTACCGTCCTCTCCAGTAACATATTCAGTAGAGTAGATGCTCACCTGATTCACTGCAGATTTTTTTAGCACTAACTATAGTAATAAGTTACTACATACAAGAGACTGCACTACAACCACATCTTTGAAAAAAAAGGGAGCCATGAGTCCCTTTCATGCATAGGCTGTGTGAGGCTTTGAGAACCAATCACATTAAAACACCAAGGAAACTCAGCTCCTGCCTGTAGCCTGGGCACAGATATGAAGGTGACCACCAAAATACTGGCAAGATCACTTACAGAGCAAGCAAAGCAGCACAGCCTCAGATGTTTAAGAACTGAGTAAAGCAGAAAACTACATAGCAAATTCAAGAAACAACTGAGAAAGTTTTTGGGGGTTCAGATGTTTCACTCCAGTGTCTCAGCTCCCTCTCAAGTCACTTGCTAGCTCTCTCCCAACACCTCATGTCCTGATCGTCCTCAGGTACATTCCCGTAATTTCCAC